CTATGGCCCGTGCGCAACGCGGACCCTCAATGAAGAGGATCCGATATGCTGAAAGAAATCCTACTTACATGTCTTCTCCTTCGCAATCACAGAATGATCCAAGCATAGGAGATCCCAGGCCTTCTAGAGCTCTGGCGACCAATGAGCCAGCAGAGGGAGATGTCACAATGAACCTTGTGATGCAGCACCCCTGGGCCCTCAGAAAACCAGCGGCCACAAGTCCTGCTCCTCTTAAGGGACGCAACTAAGTTTTCGCATATGGTTTTCTTCCATGTTCCACTTTTTATAAATATGCAAAATGTGCCTATTCCTTTGGATTCCAGCTGAAGCTGTTCCTGCACCTTCGGAGCACTAGCTATCTCCTATACCTGTCCCACACCCTCCAACATTTCTCCCATGCAAATAGGAATGTCTTATTCCATTATTATTATTATTATTATTATTATTATTATTATTATTCTGACTGGGTTGTCCCAGCCACGCTGGGCAGTTTCCAACATATACAAAAACATAATAAAACATTAAATGTTAAACACACCACTTCGGTATCATGTCCCAATGCTCTAAGGTACAGCTTTTCAGACCGGCGAGAGCCGATGGATCTGCATAGGTGCAAGGGCCCAGCCAGCAGGGAATCAAACACATGAAGATTCCCTGTGTTAGACGGTAAGGGTTGCAAATATGTGCACCAGGAAGGGGCATAGTGTTCATCAGCCACGACACCCACATTCCTGCATTCACCTGAACTGGCCAGGGGGGAGTGAGGTTAGGGCTGTGCAGACACACAGGTGGAGCCAATCCAGCTCTTCTACCTGTGTCCACACACAGCCCCAATCTCACCGCTGCCTTATCCAGGTAAGCTGAGGCAGCGCCTGTATTGGGGGTGCAGCTCTGCCCCATGGCACCAACCACGACTGATCAGGGCAGACATTTCTTTCAACACTAGCATAGTAATTTGGGCTTCTTGTGAGACTTCTGGAATTGAATGAAAGGGAGAAAAATAAAAGTAGGCATTCCCTATTTGTTTTCTACTACACAGCTATGGTGTTGCTAAAACGATCCCAGGCTCCTGTCTTCAAAGCTGAATTTTAATTTTCTCCTTAGGCAAGCCAGAAGAGGTAAGTATGAATTATATTTATCCGTAGAAGCCATTATGATGATAGCAAAATATTATTGCTTTCTTTAACACATTATATAGATTGGAAGTCCATAAAAGTTCATAAAAAGAAAGAAAATGAATATTGGGGATTGCTTTCTTGAAAGCATCACCACACCCAAGACGATGTGTCAGGCTCCTGGCATGGGCGTAGCCAGGGAGGCGGGGGGGGAGCTGCCCCCTCTAAATCAAATAAATCAATAAAAATACTTAACTAACTGACCAATTGCATCACAGATAACTCAACTCTGCCCTTAGCCTCCAAAATAAAGCCTGCCCCACAATAAATGCTGTTTGCACCTATGGCTCCTGGTATCAGTTTTCCAAATCCGGGATGGTGCTTTCAAGGACGCAATTTCAGCCACATTTAAAAAGCCTCAGCGCCTAGGGCTTGCCGATCGAAAGGTCGGCGGTTCGAATCCACGCGGCGGGGTGCGCTCCCGTTGCTCGGTCCCAGCGCCTGCCAACCTAGCAGTTCGAAAGCACCCCTGGGTGCAAGTAGATAAATAGGGACCGCTTACTAGCGAGAAGGTAAACGGTGTTTCCGTGTGCGGCTCTGGCTCGCCAGATGCAGCTTGTCACTCTGGCCACGTGACCCGGAAGTGTCTGCGGACAGCACTGGCCCCCGGCCTCTTGAGTGAGATGGGCGCACAACCCTAGAGTCTGTCAAGACTGGCCCGTACGGGCAGGGGTACCTTTACCTTTACCTTTACTTAACTAACTGACCAATTGCATCACAGATAACTCAACTCTGCCCTTAGCCTCCAAAATAAAGCCTGTCCCAAAATAAATGCTGTTTGCACCTATGGCTCCTGGTATCAGTTTTCCAAATCTGGGATGGTGCTTTCAAGGACGCAATTTCAGCCCCATTTATTCTGATCCTTATGAAGAACTGCTCCCTTTCCCTCTTAACAAATAAATTGCCAGATGGGCCAGCCATATATTCCTGCATTGCAGGGGGTAGGACTAGATGATCGGCTGGGTCTCTTCCAACTCTACAATTCTGTGATTCTTATGTTCTCAAGCTCCCCTGGTGCCAGCCAGGTGTGGCCACTCAGTTTCCTCAAGTACTTGAGGAATGGCAGCCTGTCATAAGAGGATGACAGCTGATGGACAGCAACAAGCCTCTCCTGTCTGCTGGGATTCCCAGGCGGCATATGCTGTGCCAGGTCAAATCTGCCTGTTCCTGATAGGTACAGCCATCTAATTCCAGTTTGCAAAAGGAAGTTTCTACCCCAAGTATCTGCCAGGGAAGTAAAGGGTCTGGAAAGGTGAACCTCGCTCAGAGCCGCCAAGGCTGCATCACTTGGGAAGATAATACTCTTAGTATTTCGTATCCATCTCTTCATAAACAACACAACAGGTTGTCCTTTCAACCAACTTGAGATGATAGAGGGGAGCTAAGTTTCAACCATTTATTTTATACACCTTTGATTTTCACAAATTTAAGCAGGTGTGTTAAGTCTAAGAGCTCCATTCTCAATAGCCTTTCCTAACTCAAAAAGCTGGCGTGCTTTTTCCACGGCAGAAGTTTGGTGGGTCAAAAGTGTCAGAGCCTCCCTTACTCCGATTCTGCATCTTCCTATAGGAATCCTGAAAAGGAATCGTGCCTCTGAGGGACCACACCTTCAGCAGTGCTTGGGAGAAGAAAGAGGGAAGGGCAGGTCTCCTCCTTCCACCATTGAGATATATAAGAGAAAGAGAGCTCTGTACAAGTGCACAATTCCAGTTCTGATGCAGGTTAAGAAGTGGGAGGAAACATGGCGGGGAAATGTCCCTAACTCAGGGCAGGCAGGTTGACAGACGCTTTCTGCACTGTTCTACCTTGCACTTTTGACTATGATGACATACCGAGGGACGTTCAGTGCAGGATCCTGCTTCCGCTCCGGTTGCTTGAATAGAAATGGGGAGACTTTTTAAAAAAATGTTTTTCTATGTTTCCCTCCCTGCTGCTTAAGGGTTTTTTTCAGGCTAGAAGGAGAAAGATTATCCCCACCCCAGGCTAGGTGGGGATCATTTAATTTTTTAGGACAGTAAGGGAGGTGTGTGAAAAGGGAAGCGCGTGCACAGGCTGCACGGACACTGCATTTTGAAAGCACGCGGGCAGCAGCCCGGTCTTGGCCGCAAAGAATTCTGGGCATGGTAGTTTCCCCCTGGCAGAACTCCCATTCCCAGCCACGGACTCCGCCCCTTGGTCCCCGCTCCTCTCTCGGAGGAAGGGGAGCCGGAGGGGCCCCGGGAGGCGGGCGGCACGGAGGCGAGAGACCAGGGACAGGACCCCCCAGAAGGTGGCTGGGGGTCCCCTTGGGCTCCCCCCAGGGGGTGGGGTCTGCTCTGCTGCTAACGGCCCCCCAACATCTGGATCCTTCCCTTTGCCTCTCGCCCTGCCTCCTCCAGCGCTGCCGGGGGGGGGGAGCAGGGGGCTCTTCACTCCTCTAGGCAAGGGGGGAGAGGCACCATGCTTGCCCCCCCCTGGTCCTGCGCTGGGGGGATGGAGGGGCTGCTTTCCTGGCAGAGAGCCCCCCGGTCCAGCCCCTGGGGTTGAGGGCGGGGGGCCATCGCTGCTGGGAAGTGTAGTGCTTGGACTCGTTCTTCCAGGGGCGCCTCCCTTGGCCAGGACTCCTGCTATCAGCATCCCCACCCCAGAGACCATGGACGAGACACTCCAGAAGAGGCACCCCCAAATTCGGCCCTCCAGCTGTTTTGGGACTACAACTCCCATCATCCCTACCTAACAGGACCAGTGGTCAGGGATAGTGGGAATCGCAATCAAAAACATCTGGAGGGCTGAGTTTGGGGATGCCTGCTCAAGAAGGTGGTTCGGGGTCCCCTTGGCCTCCCCCCCTCTTCCGCGGCCAGGGGGTGGGGTCTGCTCTGCTGCTAACGGTCCCCCTCCCCAATGGCTGGATCCTTCCCTTTACATCTCGCCCTCCCTCCTCCAGCTCTGCTTGGGCAGGGGGGGGGTCTTCACTCCTCCAGGCAAGGGCGGAGAGGCACAATGCTTGCACCCCCTGGTCCTGCGCTGTTGTGGGGGGGGGGGCAATCTGGCTCTGTGGATGGAGTGTCTGCTTTCTGTGCAGAGAGCCTCAGGTTCAGCACCTGGGAGTTAGAGTGGGCCAAGCTCCTGTCTAAATCCCTGGAAAGCTATCGCTGCTGGGAAGTGTAGTGGTTTGACTCGGGATAAGGCAGCGTAGTAGGTAAGGGGCAGAACCAGGTGCTATTAGTCAATTAGCAAAGTATTTTTATTTATTTACTTTATTTAGGGAGGCAGCTACCCCCTGCTTATTTCTTATTTCTTCACTGTGCCTTATAAGAGTAGTTACTATCTACATATCTGTAGATTCATATAATCCATATTTATCATGGCCACTTTATAACCATAAGGCTAAAATAGAAGGCGGGGACCCCAATAAGAGGCTGGGATAGTATGAATGACCACTGGCTGAAAACTGATTTCCCGAGGGTGAAATCCTAAACTGCACTTACCCGGGAGTAAGAGCCACTGCATTCAGCAGGACTTGCTTCTGAGTATATAGAATTGTGCTGGATGCTACTGCAATATTAGTGGTAGCAATTATTCTGAGATTATTCTCATCGTTTTACCTGGCATTCTTACATGTAATTACTTCTCCGTCCATTTACTTCGGAGTAAGCCCCATGGAATTCACAAGGACTTAGTTCTGAGTAGACATCATTAAGTTTATACTGTTAGTCACTTCTTTGCATTAACTAGTCCATAGCTGGTGAGACACTTAAATCAAAAGCCACTCCTCTGTTGGTATGAATCCACAATCCTATACCCACTTATTTGGGAGTAACCCTCATTGAAGTCAACAGGGCTTACTTCTGAGTAGACATGCATAGGATTGTGCTGTAAATATGCCACACTTTCATGTTTTCCTTGTTCTTTCTTCCTCCTGCCATCTTCTTCCAGATCAGCCACTAAGGGGGCGGAAAGCACATATTATGCACAAATCTTTTTTGAAAAAAATCTGAAATTACTGGGTAAAACACAGTATGAAAGTTAAGAATGACATACCAATAGATCCATTTTCAGAGAAAACAGGGCAATTTTCATTTCACTCATTAAGCATGTGAGCACACAAACTTTCCTGTAGGAAACCAAATTCGAGCTAACGGTAAGTGCAATCTCAAGATGCAGAGAAAATATACAGTAGAACTGTTTGGGGGACTTTCTTATATTTCCTGAAGATCTCTTTGGAAATGGACATTACCTTCATGTTTTCCTTGGTGTTTCTTCCTCCAGTCTCCGCCTGCTCCTCCTCGAGGTCTTCGATGATCAGATCATCTGAAAGGAAAAGAAGAGAAGGCTGGCAGTTAGAGAGACTTTCTTATATACACTGAACATATCCTTGGAAATAGACATTACCTTCAGGTGGACTTTCCTTCTCTTTTGCCTGAGGCGGCCAGGAAGTACGTGGAGCCTACCGGGAAACAAAGAGCCACATGGGATATGATGATCTACAGCTCAAAATAGGCCTCAGACAGAGACCTTTCCTAAGAAATTTCAGGGACTGGAATCAACTTCTATAGGCTGAAAGGTTTTACCTTTGAAGTCCTTTCGAAAAGGGGCCTGCAGCGGGGCGGGGGGGGGGAGGACTCGGGGAGAGGGCACACTTTATTTTTTCTCGCCATCCGCGAAATTGCTCTTCACAGCCTGGAAAGCCCAGAAAAGAAAGAGAAATGGGGCTTACAGTTAGTACTCTCTCATGCCTCTAAACCCAAGAGGAATTCACTACCCTCACAGAATGCAGATGCTGAGAGAAATCCTACTTACATGTCTATCTTCTTCCTGGAACAAACGTGAAATGATCCAACCACAGGAGTTCACCCGGCCTTTTTGCACTCTGGTGACCAGTGAGCCAGCAGAGGGAGGTGTCACAATGGGGCTGTCCCTTGAAAATAGGGACACTTGGCAGGTGTCCTGAGGTGCCCAGATGGGAGACCACCAGGGAACCCATGATATGGTGCTTAGAATGATACAGGCAAAAGTACTATGTAAATAAATACATCTCTAGACACACTGTCCTTTTGGTCTTTTCTCATGCAAGAATATTTCCCTAAGTCAGAAAGAGGCCTCCTGCTCATGAAAGTGCACCTTCGGGCCTGAGCCTCCTAAATAGCTCTACTTGGGAGTAAATTATTCTGCCCCAGTGGAAATTGGTTCCTAGTGAGCATCCTTGGGATTGTGGTATGAGGAACAGGACACTGCTGCCAAGAAAGGGGAGAGCTAGCTTGACTCAAGTTTGCCACGTGTTGGGGGGCTCAAAGAACAATCCCATGCTTGGGTGGTACATCTAGAAAGATTTTTAAAATGTGTGTGGCACGGTGAGGTAGAAGAAGGGTTGTGTCATTCACACATCATTAAAAATGCCACACACATGATCCAGTAGACACCTCTGGAAGTTGCGCAGCAATGGCCGCCACATCTTGCTGGGCTACACAACTCGCAGCAGTCCCCACCATCATGGCCAACCGTCAGGGGTGAAGGGAGCTGTCCTCCACTAACATCTGGAGGGCACCCCATTGGTTACCCCCCCCAAGTATAAGGGTGTTCAAACCTCAATGTGTTAATTGTTTAAAAACCATACCCTCAACATTTCATCTGATGACAATAGGGACGTCCCATTCCATAATGATAATTTTACTCTCTATACCCCACACATCCTACTGGGTTGCCCCAGCCGCTCTGGACAGCTTCCACCATATATATATAAAGGTTTTAGTATGAGAGGAACAAAGTATAATACAGTGATATGTGTGTATGAGTGTACGTATGTGTTTTCTTTAAAGAGAGAGAGGGGGGATGGAAGAAAGGGAGGGGGAGAGAAAAAGAGAGAGGAAGAGGAGAGATGGGAAGAAGAAAAATGGGGTGGGGGAGGGAGAGGGAACTAGCAGTGGTATGGGGGAAAGTTTTGTTTTTTAAAAGAGGGGGTAGGAGGGGGAGAAAGGGCTCCCCCCGCAAAAACAGACTGAGAAACAGGCTAAAAAGGGGGTCCGATTTTAAAAAACTAAAAGGATAGAAAATGAGGATGAAAATTAAAAAGTGAGGCGAAAGGAAAAAATAAGGGAAAAGTAAATTAGAAGGAGTTGCGTGTCTGGGGTGGAGTGGCCTGTGCTGGTTCAGGGCTCTCTTCTGGGCACTGCCATTTTAATTTTTGAAAGAAAGGTTTGAGGTAGAAATAAAGATAAGATTTATTGTCTAATTTTTTATTATTGTTATTATTTATTTAAAAAGGGAGTTAAGGAAAATATATATTGAGAAGAAGGAATTAAAATGAAAATAAAACAAAAGATATTGGAAAGGAAAGACGACGACAACAAAAGAAAGCCCCTCCCCCTTTTGGGGGGTGGAAAGTGTGTTTTAAGTAATATATGGATGTATTTTAAAAATGGTACTAATAGTAATTTAGTAAAAGGGCTGAAGACTTAGGGAAGGGGGGAAGGGTTGATTTTTTAAAGGGGGTTAAAATATATGAAAGGGGGGACGTTTATGTACTAAATAATAGAAGATGGAGATGATAATAGTAATATAAAAATAGTTTTAAAATAATATTTTTTGGAAAAAATATAGTTTAAAAAGGAGGGGGAGGAAAAATAAATAAATAAACTCTATAGAGAAAAGGGAGGTCTTTTTCCAGCCTCCTAGGCTCCGGGGGAGGTGGGCTGGGGTTGGGCCTGGGCTTGAAGGAGGTGAGGACAGGTGACCCCCCCCCTCAATAATCACCCCAGGCCTCCAAACTGTCCCAAATTCCTTTTGTCTTCTAAAAATCCACAGCTAAAGTTTTCCTCTGTTTTCTCACAAGATGCATAGGCAAACCGTTACTTTTATCAGTACTAGAGAGCTTCCAAAAGGCTAATGAATAGACTCTGTCAGAGCAGGCCTGGGAAGGGACTTTTATCTCATTCAGTTGCAACATCTTGGACATGCTGCACTGTTCTCATTCCCCTTTCCTGGGAAGGGCGCCAAGAGTCCACCATAGTCCCAAGAGAGCTTTCTGTACATGCTCAGGAACCTCAACATGGGGCAGGACTCCTGAGGGAGGAGAAAGGGGAGGGAACTAGAAGGGGAATATATACTCTGTGCACAGGACTGTGAACTCGTGCATGTTTTTGTGAGTTCTCACACTTGCTCCTTCTACCAGTTCATGGGTGGTAGAAATAAAGCTTTTTCTCCGAAACTATTCCTTGAGTGTCTCTTGACTCCCACTTCCCTTTCCCGGGCGCAATATTTTTCCCACCCAAGGGCAAAGCCTCATAAGGCTACAGGCTCAGCCACGTGTTTCCTCGCGGCCTCCTCCTGCCTCTCCTCCTTTCCCTTGGCATTGGCAGCGCAATGGCGGTGGCAGCAGGGCCAGGGCTTCTCCTCTCCCCCTCCGCGCTCGCTCCTGGGTCCCACCGGCCCCAGATGGCTGGGCGTCTGTCTCCTCCTTCTCCTATCCCTCTGGAAGAGGGAGGTGGGTTGTCCCAGGCCTTGGAGCTCCGCTCGGCCGTTGGCCAGATGCCCTCGGCTCCGGCCTGGTAGGGTCGCTGGGGGGGGGGCTGGCAGCTCCCCGGTTGATACATTGGGTGCCCCCAGCCCCCACGCGGCGGTGGTGGTCCCGGCAGCTTGGAAGCCGGTCAGGCAGCACAAGCAATACTGGCCACCCTCAGGAGCTCTGTGATGCCCTGGTGTGCGCCATGTTGCTTCACCCACCATATATATATATAAAGGAAACAAAAAATGAAACATTAAAAAAACCCATCCCTGTACAGGATTGCCTTCAGATGGCTCGGGGGTCAGAGAACTCCATACCCTCTTACATTTCTTCAGTGAAACTAGGGACACCATAGGGAATGGTGGGACTTTGAAGGATCAAATCAGAAACCAGGACGGCTTCTCTCAATCAGGGACATCCCTGGAAAATAGGGACACTTGGAGGGTTTGAACAATGTGTATTGTTTCAACTCTGTGTGAACCACCCAGAGAGGCTTTCACCCCGATCGTGTTTATCAATTAATAATAGCTGCAGAAAGGATTCAATGACTTAAGAGAGGGGGGCCTCCCTTTTGGTGAAATGTCCTTTGGGCCTCCTCCAACATAAGCCTTGCTTTCTTCTGAAGCCGTAACTGGTAGCAGAAAGTGCACAGAACAGCTGATGACTGTTGGGTGCAAGAGATCTGGCACCCCAGGTTGCCATCACCACCCATTTCTGCAGGTGAGGGTGAATGACAGGCAAAATACTACAAATAGTGCCCACAGCTCCAGTAGAACTGGTCCTTCGTTGCCCGGATTTCTCTTCACTATTCCCTACCTTGGTGTTCCTAAGTACTGCTAAATGCCTCATTTTTGGCGAGGACTGTGGCAAAATGGGTCAGGAGGTCTTTTCCGCCTTTTTAAAACTCAGTGAGGTCTGCCTCACACAAGCAAATGGACAGAAGCAGGAAAATGCCCAGGTGGCAGCCTTCTTTGAGTCATGCTTGTTCACGATTGCAATGGAATTGCACAAATAGATACTCATGGTGTTACTCGGGCAATGTGGGATCACCCAAGCACAGGACTAGCCAGTTACCAAGCTGTGCCAGAAGATCCTTTAGTCTTCCCAGTCAAAATGTTTCGAGAACTCGGCTCCTGGGGCCTTAGGGAAGGGGGAACGGAAATTAAAAGTGAAGCACCACACAGCGCCTTCTGGCTATATTTTGAGATTCCCACCTGAAAGTAGCCCATGAACAAAAAGGACAGCTAGCACTACCAGCCTCAAGATGAGGAGAAAAAGGTGCCTGTGGCGATCACACAGGGTCCCCGGACGTTTAACGGTCTATTGATCCCTGTGCCACCACTGTGCTCGCTTTCCTGCTGCCACCAACCCGTTACTCTCGGGTACACACTGAGTCCAGACAGTTGTTAAAACTGAACCAATCACCAACCAACATGCAGAAAACAGCATTCTTAGAGAAACCAAAGACTGGAACTGAGGGAAAGTCGGGGGGGGGGTTATGTGGGAGGATGGGGGGAGGAAGGAAAAATGTGGGGGGGGGACAAGGATGGTATCTTTTTGGATAATATGTTTTGTTTTAATTTTGAATAAAAAAATTCAATTGCTTGGTCCCATTGGTTGGTCCCAGCTCCGGCCAACCTAGCAGTTTGAAAGAACGTCAAAGTGCAAGTAGATAAATAGGTACCACTCCGGCGGGAAGGTAAATGGCGTTTCCGTGCGCTGCTCTGGTTCGTCAGAAGAGGCTTAATCACGCTGGCCACATAACCCAGAAAAACTGCCTGCGGACAAACGCCGGCTCCCTCGGCCAGTAAAGCAAGATGAGCGCCGCAACCCCAGAGTCGTCTGCAACTGGACTTAACTGTCAGGGGTCTCTAACCTTTTTTAACTTCCAATATTGTGGAATTGGGGAAAGTTGAGATTATGTTTGCTGTGATTAGATTATTGTAATATGAAACTATTGTGACAAGTGCCATTGAAATAGGTGCTGAGTTTTTATTTCTTTTTGTTGAGGTGTGTTTACTCAACCTCAATGTTTGGGCTGCATATATATTTTTTCAGATGTACAGTTGGTGAAATAACGGATGCAATGAAAAAGGTGTTTGGTGAGCACAAAGCCAGTGACCGCATGGTGAGTGGAGCTTATGGGGGATTACATTCTTTTATCCACTTTATAAGCCAACCATTTTTACTTAATAAATGTTCTTCCAAATTTTATAAAGTCAAACAATTACCTTAAAGCTATTACCTCTTTGCACATGTCTAAAGTGGGTTGGTTTTGTTTTGTTAATGCTGGGTTTTCAACCTTACTATGTTGGTTATGTTTGTTATCAGGTTTGTTCTGCAAATTCGCTGTATTTATTAATTGGTTATGGGAAGTATTGTAAACTAGACTTTTAACAAAATAAACTCATCGCCTTTAATTTAAGGCTGTGGATGATGAGGAGAACCTGATAAAATACCAGGCTGCGTTCAAGGTGTTACCAGTAGTATATAAGCCCTTAACAGCTTGGGACCAGTTCACCTGCAAGGTTGCTTTAACCCATATTTTCCCACTCAGCCACTTCATTCTGCAGAACTGGCATGGTCACGGGTACCACATAATACTTGTTAATAATAATATCCTTCAGTGTATCCACATTTGGGAACTCCTTTCCTAGTGACATCAGGCAAGCACCTCTGTTACTCTGTTTGGTAAAAACATGCTTGTTTTGAGAGACCTACCCAAGAGAATGGTGATGTGTGTTTTAATCTGTGTTTAGCGTATTGCTGATTTTATTTTTTCAATGTTTTGAAAAGGTTGTTTTTAGTACTTTTTACTGATAATTTTATTGCTTTTATGAAATAAATAAAGCAAGCTCAGCATAATTTTGCATCTAGGAGTCACTAGAATTTTTTTGTGTTATTTTAATGTATTCCCTGTTTTTCCTTTTGTTCCTGATTTGATTCAATCTCATCATTACCAAATGGAAGGTAAATGAGAAAGAGAGATTATAAAATTTCCATGTACACATAAAACTCCATACTACTCATAGAATTCAAATGCATATAGATAAATCTTTAAAAATGGAAGACTTTTTTGTTGTAGTCACAGCTGTCAAGATACCCTTAAAAATGTTACTTCAACCGTCTGCAACTTACAAAAGCAAATTCTAAATTCAGAGTTAACAAGTTTGTGGAACGTGAAGGTCGGAGACCACGTCTTCTTGTTGCAAAAATGGGCCAGGATGGCCATGACAGAGGAGCCAAAGTGATTGCTACGGGATTTGCTGACCTTGGGTTTGATGTGGATATAGGCCCACTCTTCCAGGTATTTAGTCTCTTCCATTCAAATTTTTATTTGTTTCTTTGTTTGTTTGCTTGCTTGCTTGCTTCTCCTAGCAATTAAAATGTCTGACGCTATAAAGGATAGTTAAAAATAAAGGGACCCCTGACCGTTAGGTCCAGTTGCGGACGACTCTGGGGTTGCGGCGCTCATCTCACTTTACTGGCCAAGGGAGCTGACGTTTGTCCGCAGTTTTTCCAGGTCATGTAGCCAGCATGACTAAGCCGCTTCTGGTGAACCAGAGCAGCGCACGGAAACTCCATTTACCTTCCCACCGGAGTGGTACCTATTTACCTACTTTCACTTTGATGTGCTTTCGAACTGCTAGGTTGGCAGGAGCTGAGACCGAGCAACGGGAGCTCACCCCGTTGCGGGGATTTGAACCGCCGACCTTCTGATCGGCAAGCTCTAGGCTCCCAGTAAGTCATCTGTAGGAATGGCTTTATTTATTTTTTGAATATATTTTTGTATTTTATATTTTTGTACACAGCTTTGAGGGCCTTGGACTTTTAAGCAATTTATTAATTTGTAAAATAATTTTGTAAAAAATACATGCAGCTATTGTTTCAATTTCCTATTCGCACTAAAGGTAACAACCAGAATATGTTGTACTGGGATGATTTTACAGATTCCCGAGTTGGAAGATGCAGTGGGTTAGGTGGGTTATGTTCCTCTCTGTACTCTACTTTCTGGGCACTCATACAGTGGTACCTCGGGTTAAGTACTTAATTTGTTCCGGAGGTCTGTTCATAACCTGAAACTGTTCTTAACCTGAAGACCACTTTAGCTAATGGGGCCTCCCACTGCCACCGCATCACCGCCAAGCGATTTGTGTTCTCATCCTGAAGCAAAGTTCTTAACCCGAGGTACTATTTCTGGGTTAGCGGAGTCTGTAACCTGAAGCGTATGTAACCCGAGGTACCACTGTATTGTCTAACCTAAATGCCAGTAGCAGCCTTCAGCGGTGCATGCTGGTGTCTGTGTTTTTTTGTCACTCTATGAAAACAGAAGTGTGGGTCTGCATGCAGTGTTAGGTTTTATGCATTCTTCTTTCCCATATTGTTTGACACTTCCTTTGCTTTCTCTTCCTAGACACCCCATGAAGTGGCCCAGCAGGCGGTAGATGCGGATGTGCATTGCGTGGGGGTGAGCACATTGGCTGCTGGCCACAAAACGCTTGTTCCTGAACTCCTCAAAGAGCTGCATGCCCTTGGCCGCCCAGACATTCTCGTCATGTGTGGAGGAGTCATCCCTCCTCAGGTACTGCGCACCACCATCACAAGATAGCTTGTTGTGAGATGATTCAATTGTTCCCAGTGAGGTGGGGTCTCCATCTACTTTCTCCTCCTCCTCCTCCTCCTCCTCCAGGCAAATGATGAACACCACTGAAAGGCTTTTAAAGTAACATCTAGCTATTGAAATGTGGAAATCCTTCAGCAAATTTGGGAAAGCGTTGTAGTTTATAGGTTTAGGGTTCACAGAACAACGCAGTTGAAAAGCAGCCTCCCAAAAGCTTTCTAAAACTGCCAATATAGTAAAATAATTAAAAAATCACTTTTTAAAGTTAAAAATATTCATAAACATTTTAAGGTTGCCTATGCCTGGTCTCCCTTTTTCTTTTCCTGCTCAATAGCCTCTGTAGAGCAGTGTTTCCCAACCTTTTTTGGGCAAAGGCACACTTGTTTGATGAAAAAAATCTCGAGGCACACCACCATTACAGCCCCGTGACGTCAGCGCGCAGCGTCACGCTGGGAGGGACGCACGAAAGTGTAACTTTCAATTTTTTTCCCTCCCCCTTGCCGGGGAACCTCCAAGTGGGGTGTGAAGCGAGCGTACCTCAAGACCGAAACGCCTAATTCCTAGGGGGAAAGCATAACTGGGCGTTAACCGATCGCAAACCCTGTCCTAGCCCATTAACATAGGAAATTAACATATACAACGCGGCAAGACACCGGTTTTGGAATCCGTTCCTTCCCCCTCTCGTCTGCCGAGTTGGTCCCTGCCCCTCTCGCGAGACTCGCCGCCGGGTCCGCTCTCGCGCACATGGCCCGGCGAGAGGGCGCCTCCCCTGCGCGCGCGCCTGCGCGCTCTGTGCCCCCTCCCTCCCCCTTTTCGGCCCAGCGCGCCGCCTTGCCTGTTCGTGCGCCGCGCGTGTGAGGCGAGCGGGAAGGCCGCGTAGCCCCCCATGCAGGAGACCCAGGAGAGCCCAGCGGCCGCCGAGACCCCCGCCGCTCTGCCCGCCCAGGACGAGGGGCCCGGAAGAGGAGGAGGAGAGCCCAGCGGCAGTAGCGGAGGAGAAAGAGGCGGCGGCGGCAGCAGCAGCGGCGACTCGGAGGCCGAGCTGCCGGACGGGCCTTCCGCGGAGGAGCCTGAGGGGAAGAAGGAGCCGGAGCCCGAAAAAGGCGGCGGCAAGGAGAAGGAGGAGGCGGAGGAGGAGAAGCCGCGAAGCAGCAGCGGCGAGGAAGAGGAGGCCGCTGGTGAGCGTCAGGAGCAGCCGCAACCGTCTTCGCCTCCGGCCGCTGGGCCGCCTTCGCCGCCTCAGGAGCCGCCCGAGGTTGCCGCTGTAGCCGCCGCCGCAGAGGAGCCGCCGGAGCGGCACACCAGGCAACATCTCGCGGCACACTAGTGTGCCGCGGAACACCGGTTGGGAAACACTGCTGTAGAGTCTGAAGTTGGTGGCCTTACGGGAGATATGGGCAGTTTCCAGTTCTGTGACCTCACAAATCCTGTAGTGAGATGACATGCACAAGACGGGTAGAGCCACCGTTTTATGAAAAGTCCATTTTTTGTAAGGTTCTTGCTCAACAGCCTTAATAGAAGTATCGAAGGGGGAGGTGTCAACAGCCCGTTAAGCAAAGGTCTTTTCTTATTCTTCAAGACGCCTGTGCCTCTTGAGACTCCATCATTGACACCTGAGCTCAGCATCACATACACTCCAACAAAAGCACAAAAACAAATGCCAAGTTCACTAACATTACAATCTCTTTTAATTGCAAAAATACCTCCTCTGCCAGCTATTAATATAGCAAACTCTAATTTAGTCCATGTGCTCAAAATTCCTTGAGATTCCTCATTTCTTGCTGGCAGGTCTTTTTTTTAAAGAACAGAGACCTCGGAATTATCCTGCAAGCAGTTTATTATAAACTTCCTAGGAATTACTGCCCTTGCAGTGTTTCCCTGGGAGATTTCATGATCTGGACTTTGGAGCAACGTTTTCAAATAAGACTTCTGCAGCTGCAGCTGATGGATTTGGCACTTCTCCACTGTCTTTCTGAATGAAGAGATGTGTGCATTATCCCATGCTGACCAAATCACTGATACATGGCTATTGGTGGTATGCTTGGTGCTAAAGTAAACTTTCTGGCTACAGCAGCACTGGAGGCGCTTAATTTCACGCCAGAAAGTTTTGCTGAAAGTATACTAAATGAAAAGGGTTGTAAGCTGTTGAGGATTTAGCAAAAAGACATGGCAACAAGGTAACGATGGGCAGTATTGATTCACTGGAGTGAAATATTGACCAGAAGCTGACTGCGGCATATGGTGTCCATGCGCTGAAGAATCCCACACTGATCAGTACAGCCATCTGTAAAAACAACCACTTATAATTAGTTACTGGCTGGCTTTTTATATTTTCTCCTTCTTTATCTGTTATTTCAAATCGGTGAGAGAGAAATGAAGGATTAGTGCTTTAACATTTAAAAGATATTTAAACAATTGGCTCTTGCTTTTATTTTAGGCTGTCCATTCATTTTATCCTAAGACCCAAAAACAGTATCCTCTGCAGTACAGCAGCCCTCCAATGTCAATTTCTTTTCCAGCTTTGCTGCATCTGAAGTCCTGTTGAAGTTCTGCATCTCATGAGAGGTTTTATGAACCTTCCAGGCTATACCCAAGTAACAGATGGTGATGGTAATTGCTGGCAGAATGGTACAGATCCTACAGATGACTTACTGGGTTACACATTAGGGAGAGCTTTCCTAAATAAAACATCTTCAAGAAGACACCTAAACATTATGATGCCAGGCACCTGTCTAATTCCAGCTGGGAATGGATTCCAGAGGGCTGGAGCTACACTACTAAAAGCCAATTTCTAGTACAACCTAAGCACACCTCTGGCTCATGCAGCACTCTCAGCAGCGCCCCATCTGAGAATATAAAGGAGCAAAATATGTGTTATGGCTGCTTCTGGCTTCCCTCCTCCCTTAGATATTTATTCAGGTTTTATTTTTAAAATTATTATCTTTTTCTCCTGGTTTTCCTGCGAAGAACTCCGTGATGATTTAGCCTCATAATCCCCACCCCTTTGCCCCTCAGTGAAGGAAATCAGGCTGAGAGACTGACTTCCCATAGTGAGGTTCACAGCTTTTTAAATCTGGGCCTTTCCACCATCGAAAACATCTCTCTAGTCCCACACATGGACCGACACATTCCTTATGCGCTGCCAGAGCAGGGCCACAGGGAGTTAGTGCAGAGCCCTGGAGAGATGCTCTGGACCACAGCATTTCCCCCCATACCTGGCACGTGCTGCTTCCACTGCTGGGCCAGCAAATGGCCTTGGCCTGGGGCGGCGCATGCTGACAGGGCAGCGCTACATCTTCATCTCCGCAAGCTTTCTCCTTCAAGGAAAGACACAAAAGCAAATCTTTACAACAGCCAAGAACTGTTAACGATTGATAAAGCTGCTCCAATGCCGCCCAGTCTCTTACGCCTCTTCCTCCAGATCTTCAATCTCTTCCAGGACGAGCTCTTCTGAAAGGAAAAGAAGAGAAGGCTGCCAGTTAGAGAGGCTTCTTACACACAGAGAGAGAGACTTTCTGAACACATCCATGGAAATAGACATTACCTTCTGGATGACTTTGTTTTCCTTTTGCTTGAGGTGCCAGTGGAGCCTACAGGGAAACAAAGAGCCACATGGGGTATGATTATCTAAACCTCAGACAGAGAGACCTTTCCTAAGAAATCTGAGGGACTAGAATCAACTACTATATGCTGAAAGGTTTTACCTTTGTGGTCCTTTTGAAAAGGGGTCCGTGGGAGGAGGAGGAGGAGGGGCGGGCGGGGGGGAGGACTCGGGGAGAGGGCACACTTTATTTTTTTTCAGCATCCGCGAAATCGCTCTTCGCAGTCTTCCAAGCCTAAAAAGGAAAGAGAAATGGGGCTTACAGTTAGTACTCTCTCATGCCTCTAAGCTCAAGAGGAATTCACTATCCTCACAGAATGCAGATGCTGAGAGAAATCCTACTTACATGTCTATCTTCTTCCTGGAAGAAACACGAAATGATCCAACCATAGGAGTTCACCAGGCCTTTTTGCACTCTGGTGACCAGTGAGCCAGCAGAGGGAGGTGTCACAATGGGGCTGTCCCTTGAAAATAGGGACACTTGGCAGGTGTCCTGAGGTGCCCAGATGGGAGACCACCAGGGAACCCATGATATGGTGCTTAGAATGATACAGGCAGAAGTATTACTTAAATAAATACATCTCTAGACACACTGTCCTTTTGATCTTTTCTCATGCAAGAATATTTCCCTAAGTCAGAAAGAGGCCTCCTGCTCATGAAAGTGCACCTTCGGGCCTGAGCCTCCTAAATAGCTCTACTTGGGAGTAAATTATTCTGCCCCAGTGGAAATTGGTTCCTAGTGAGCATCCTTGGGATTGTGGTATGAGGAACAGGACACTGCTGTCAAGAAAGGGGAGAGCTGGCTTGACTCAAGTTTGCCACGTGTTGGGGGGCTCAAAGAACAATCCCATGCTTGGGTGGTACATCTAGAAAGATTTTTAAAATGTGTGTGGCACAGTGAGGTAGAAGAAGATAAAATATATTGGAAAGGAAAGAGGACAACAACAACAACAAAAGAAAGTGTCCCCCCTTTTGAATTTTTTTATTCAAAATTATAACAAAACATATTATCGAAAAACATATCATCCTTGTTTCCCCTCCCCATTTTTCCTCCACCCCCCCCCCGACTTCCCTCAGTTCCAGTCTTTGGTTTCTCTGAGACTGCTGTTTTCTGCATGTTACAAAGTTGTATAGATCCTCAAACTATTTAGCTGATTATTATCAATAAAAAGTTGGTGAATGTTTATTCAAAACCTGCCAAGGAGTCCAGTTCGCTTTGTGGCATCTTCAGATACTTTGTAAAGGGTTCCCATTCACCCTTAAAGTCACAGTTATCCTTGTCCCGTAGCTTATATGTCAGTTTTGCCAGTTCTGCATAGTCCGTCAATTTTTCTTGGCATGATTCTTTAGTTGGGGTTTCTTCAGTCTTCCATCCTTGTGCTCCCAAAACTCTCGCAGCCGTTGTCGCATACATGAAGATGTTTTTCAGCTTTTTTGGCAGGTCTTTCTCTACAATCCCTAACAAAAATGCTTCAGGTTTTTTAACAAATGTTAGATGAAACATTTTCTTTAATTCGTTGTATATCATTCCCAAAAATTACATTACAATCCCACTGCATATGATAAAATGTCCCCTCCTTTTCCTTACACTTCCAACATATAGTTGAACTAGTTTTATACATTTTCCCTAACTTCACTGGTGTCATGTGCCATCTGTACATCATCTTCATATAATTTTCCTTCAATAGGGAACAATCTGTAAATTTTAAATCAGTTTTCCATAATTTTTCCCAATCTTCCATCATAATATTGTGACCTACATCTTGTGCCCATTTAATCATAACTGATTTTACCTCTTCATCTTTCGTCTCCCATTCTAATAGTATGCTGTGTGCGGCCTTCAGTAATTTCACTTTCCCTTCAATCACCTCTGTCTTTTACATCTGTAAGTATTTTATATTTTATCCTTGGCCTTTTGCCCCCCTTCCCCCCAGATAAATTTTGAAATCTCTTTCTGCCATTTTTTAAAACATCATCTTTCAGGATGACTGGTATTGATTGAAAAAGAAATCGCATTTTTGGCAACACATTCATTTTAATTGCCGATATTTTTCCTTTTTTGGTGGGGTGGAAAGTGTGTTTTAAGTAATATATGGGTGTATTTTAAAAATGGTAGTAATATTAATATTAATTAAAAATGGTAGTAATAATAATTAAGTAAATGGCTGAAGACTTAGAGAAGGGGGGAAGGGTTGATTTTTTTAAAAGGGGGTTAAAATATATGAAAGGGGGGGAGTTTATGTATTAAATAATAGAACATGGAGATGATAATAGTAAACAGTTTTGTACCACCTGGCTACAATAGCATCAATTATATGACAAATTTAACTCTGAAAATAAAATAGCTTTCCAAAAAGAAGAATCCAAATTCCAGATAGAACTTTTGAACAACCCCCCCCCAAAAAAAAATCTATCAAAAATGTATAATCTATTACTTGAATGGGAACTCAAAGACGAACGAATAAAAGAAGTAATGATCAAGGGGGACAGGATTTTGGATACACGATTTCATTAGATCATTGGGAAAAACTTCGGAAATCAGATATTAATTTCACCGCATGCATTACTATCAAAGAAAACATTATGAAAATGTTTTACAGGTGGTACTTAACCCCTGTAAAACTGGCAAAAATTTATAAACTAACATCGAATCTGTGTTGGAGATGTAAGGTATCAGAGGGATCCTTATATCATGTATGGTGGGGATGTGATAAAATTAAGAAATTTTGGGGAAATATACATGAGGAACTGAAAAAAATGTTTTAAACAACAATTGGTAAGAAGCTGGAAACATTCCTTTTAGGAATTATAACAAATGACACCCCAAAAGACATGAAAAGAATCTTTTTATTTGCAACAGTTGCCGCAAGATGATTGATTGCAAAAAATTGGAAATCAGAACATTGAAAGATTGGCAAAATAATTTTTTTGAAATGATTGAATTAGCAAAAATGACGGCAACAATTAGAATGCAATCTAATCAAAATCTCAAACAGGAATGGAAATGTGTAAAAGAATACATGACCAAAAGATGCTCCCACAAGAATTTATTGATATGTATAGACTGATTTCACAAAGTTAAGCTAAGCTAAGCTAAGCAGAGAATAAGATTGAATGTTTAATTATTAAGACACAAAATCACAATCTCAATAATAAAGCTACAAAATAATAACAAGGAAGTCATGTACAGGTGGAGGGAAGACACAGAGTAAGAAATAAGAAATGGATAAATGTGAAAATGTGAATTTACGAATATAATGTATATGTATCAATATGTAAAGATTGCATATATGTATTGCAACATTAATAATAAATAAATTGAGTGGGGCGGGGGGAATGAAGATGGTGTACTTGCAAAGTCTCACCTGACCTCACCTGCAATGCTTTTGATATTAAAGCTAGTTCTTTGGGGGGGAAAGAAACGGAGGGAAAAGGAAGGATGGTGATGGATCTGCATTCCTAACCCTGGCAAGAAGACGCAGCTCGCAATAAATGAGCTGGCAAGAATGGAAGTTGGAGAGGCTGTGTTACAGCTTGCAGTTTGTTTGCAGTGAAAAAACTACAAGGCCAATTCAGGTGTAACATTAAGCCAAACCATGGTTTATCTCCACTAGTGCAACAGCAGAGGGAAGAGGAGCAAAGTGGCCACTATCCTACATGGATCCCCTCACACATTCTCCTCATGGTGTCTGAATCTCTGTTGGATGAGTTGGCACAGACTTGTGAAATGAGTGCAGAGACTGAAACTGTCTTATGAAAACTTTTATCTGCAGCGGTTGCAGTTGGTCCCCTAAGCTATCAAAGCCATCACTAGATATTGTGGTCATAAGCTAGTTTTGGAAAGCTATAATGGGAAGACTTTGCCCTGAAAGGTTGGCAAAAAATACATTCACCCTCTGCACTCCCTTCATCAAGGTTAAGGTGAATATAAAGGTAAAGGTACCCCTGCCTGTACGGGCCAGTCGTGTCCGACTCTAGGGTTGTGCGCCCATCTCACTTAAGAGGCCGGGGGCCAGCGCTGTCCGCAGACACTTCCGGGTCACGTGGCCAGCGTGATGAAGCTGCTCTGGCGAGCCAGCACCAGCGCAGCACACGGAAACGCCGTTTACCTTCCCGCTAGAAAGCGGTACCTATTTATCTACTTGCGCTTAAGTGTACTTAAGCTAGGTGGGCAGGAGCTGGGACCGAACGATGGGAGCTCACCCCGCCGCGGGGATTCGAACCGCTGACCATGCGATCGGCAAGTCCTAGGCACTGAGGTTTTACCCACAGCGCCACCCACGTCTGTAAATAAAACCATTCTTCCAATGGAAACATGAACTCTGGATAAGGGCGAAGACTCCTGGAACTTCACACCACTTGACAGAGATTGGGGTGGCCCTTAACAAGATGTTCTCTTCACATGTCAATGGTAGAGAAAGGGTTCTGTCTTATTTTCTGTTGTTCACCCTCCGGAGCAGATCTGTGGAGCAGGGACAAGGAGAGAAGCAGCAAGGGTTGTTCTGTACACAAACAGAAGTTCTAGTGCTAGTGGAACTACTTCTCTGGACACCAGAGCTGACAACAAACTGGTAGTGCAATCCTATACATGTCTACTGAAATGTAAGGCTAGATGACTTCATTGTGACTTACTTCCAGGTAAGTAATTGTGTGTTGGATTACAGCCTAAATCAAGCATTTGACCAGGTGAGTGCAGATGCTACTTAGTAGTTTTCACTGAGGCCATGAAACATTGAACAATGGCTATCAAAGTTTGGGGGTGGAGGAGGGAGAGAGCTTGAACGTTGAGACCCACGGAATCATAAGCTTGGGAGTGTCCGGAACTATATTCGCGATCACTTCCACCCATTTTGTCTTGTCTGAGAATCTGCTATTGAGCACAGAGTTTGCACCAACAAGGGTATTAGGACTGGACAGCCTTCTCGCCCTCCCCACTTCTTACTACTCTAGGGATTGCTATTCTCGGGAATGTCAGGTGACCCCACGAACATTTTCTTTTGGATGCACACTTCAATTCACCTTTTACAATGTCAAGAAAATAACTCTACAGTGTTGAAGCGAGCATACCACAGGTATCAAGACTAGATGCTAGAAAGTGACTGATTTGTGGCTGAAACAGAATCCACTCTTGCTCTGACCCTTACCTGTCCTTCAGTCACAAATCCACTAATATACATTCACCAGCTGTTTCATGTTACTTTGGGTAACACATTACCTATTGTGGAGAAAGGCCTGTGAATAAAATACTTACTTCTCGTTAAAAAAGAAGACTGTTATGGCTTCTAAACCTTGAGTTATAGAGTATTCACTGGCTGTGGGTCATGATGTTTGCATCTTGCAGGGTGATGAACCGCACTGGTTTGTTGACTGATTATGAATGCCTGAAAACCACACTGCTTTCCTCCTCCTCCTTTCAGGCATCCTGACAGTTCTGGGGAATTCAGCTGTCCTGGCAGTAACTGTGAAGCTCCTCCCATCTCAGGTCACCTGAGCTCCTGACGATTAATTTGGCTGTATCTTGGAAT